AAGCAGGTTTTTAAAACATCTTGTAAGGATCCCTGAGCAGCAGTATTAACTACTTCACTACCGAAGTTTAGGCCAGGCACTCTTCCTTTATCATATATGGCTTTAAAAGAAAAAAGTTGAGATAGCTAAACAGAAACCTAGGATAACACGGCAAAGCTCAGAAGAGTGTTTAGTTTAAATGGCAGACAGATTTGCAAAGTGATGCAGCCGCTCTAATTATAGTAATGACCAAAAGGCTGAAGTGGATTAAATTAGCATAGGAACTGCAGCCAGCATTAGTGTGGGTCTAAGGAGTCTCTGCATAATGAAGGGAGACAGGGAGCCGAGCGCTCGGACCAAGCCGGCAGGAGAGGCAGCGAGCAGGCATGCTTATTTGAGTAAGACTGCTTTGCTGTGAAGGCAAAGAAAGCTTCCAATATTAGGGACACATTTAAAATCCTGATCCCAACAGCTCATTCCCTGTAATACGGCTTGAAAGCACAAATACAAATTCCTTCCACCTTTAAGGGACTAATAAATATTTCATATTTCTGTAGTGATTTTTTCCCCCCCCCCGGGAGGACTTTGCGAACCAATCTAAAATGCCAGTGAAGTGCACCCACCTCTGGGGCAGAGGCCAAGCAGCCCATTTCCCAGAGGAAAGATTACTTCTATTTTTAGCTACTCTTACATTCTCAAACGACTGCGGAGCAGAGACAGCCAGACCACAGTCACCTCCAATTCCATTTCGGTTTTCAAACTTCACCGAGTAAGCGAACATAGGCGCTCACCGCGTCAGAAGGTGCCCAAATTTACATTTTTCAAAATTAACAACAAAAAAGCCACCCCAGCCCACTGCTTTCTCTGCAATTTGCCCGCACAATAGTGTTTCAACTGACAGCGCCGGGAAAGAGATTTGCACGCCTGCAGCTCGCTGCCTTTCCTCCCAGCCGGGGCAAGGTGGCTTCCCGCCTTTCCCCTCCTGGCCTAGTGAACCTGCTCAGATTTTCAGGATACCTTCCAAGCTGCTGCAACTTTGCCTCTTTTCCTTGCTACCTCTAAAACGGAACACGAAATTTCATCACAACAGTTGCTTTTGCAATCAGACCTCTCCCCAACGCAGAGGGAGAGGGAGAACCCCAGCGAGGGGCTAGGCTCTGCTCTCTGCAACATGCTAATCGCTTCCATACCCACCCTACTCAACACCCCTATTACGTGGCCAGAACAGTCTCCGCTATGGAATTCTGCTCCTAGTTTTCCAGACTAGAAAGCCCTCAAGTGTGCGACAAGACAGACTGTCAGAGTTTGGGGCCTGTTTCAAAATATAACAATCTCGGACGGAGAACAGAATTGAAGAGAAAAGAAAAGGTCTTCCATCTCCAAGGTTGCTGTGTGGCTCTGTCAGGCCCATTAAGCTCATCCTGACAGATTAAGCCTTATCCCTAGGAAGGTACCTTGCTCTGGCAAGTAACAGGGTGCTGGTGGTGCTGCTCAGAAGTGTACCTAGCAAAGCTGCCTGCTTGTACCACGTGCTACACAACTGCAGAAGATGCCAAGGACA